TCATGCACCTCGATCCATAAGTGCCAGGAGGGGAGGAGTGTTGGACTCCAATAATTTGTGAATCATGTGTAAACCGTAAAGTATATGGATTTACCAAAAGAGCAGCGCATCAGAAAATAAAATTATGTTTCATAGCATTGAAATTTATTGACATTTTATGCACTATAATTATGTTATGATATGCTATATTATTATTAAGGAACATTAAATGCCTAATACCTTCCTTTTTGTTACTGTCACAAGTTAAAAAAGAAAGGTGCAGCCTCACCAGGACTTTAACCCGGGACCGTTGGAATACTGTTCTGCCACTCAACCGACTGAACTATATTGTATTAGGCTGCATACGCATCATCTCCCTATATAGTGAACAGTTCGGAACCATTACATATTCCCCTGCTTTATTGAAATTCGTCCTTGAATGGGTACAGTGAACAATGTGAAATAGGACTTTGAGTTTTATACCATCCATCACAGTTCCCTTTGGAATAGGTGATGGTATGAAACTTCAAGGCCAATTTCACATTATTTCATTACTAACTGTTGGTAGTCAAATGTCAAAGGGTGAGAAAAATATGCAGCCTAACTGGGACTTGAGCCAGGGACCCCTTGAATACAGTGTCGAAGCTGACTACCGGCTAAGCTATCAGTCTGCTTGCACATCTTCTCCCCTTAATAGTAAACAGTTCTGAGCTGTAAAAATGAAAAAAATCAGTTTAACAGTATCTTTTTTATGATTCCATATACCATGCCAGTAATGGTCCCCTGACGGGGAAGGGAACACTTCCTTACTGATAGTGGATCTGAACCCCTCTGCCTGCATTATAAGACATTTGCCTTACCTTTTTTTATCTTTCAATGAAATTTGGTGGATTTTTTTCCATATCAATCAAACAGATGTAATTGTAACTCAATATTATAGTAATATGTTGCCTTACTAACTTGGTTTCATTTCCTAGGAGGTTATAATAAGGTAAAATTTTTAAAGATGTAATGTATTTGCTTCATCATAGAAAATTTGCCCTCAATAATAATCTTTCTTCATTGTCAATATAATTCAATGGGGTTTTCTTATTTTAGTCAATTAGATGTAGTAGTTACTTGATAGTATAACATTATTTGGCTTTACTTACTTTGTTTCAGTGACCAGAAGGTTATAAGTTGGTAAACTTACCCAAATTTTAAATGATTTAGTGTGGTAAAGTTATTAATAAGGCATTATAGAAAATTAGCCATTATTTCTTAATTTTCAATGAAATTTGTTGGGATTTTCTTATATAAGTCAATTTGATGTAGGTATATAACTTAATATAATAATACTATGTTGCTTATATATCTTTGATTCATTTACCATGAGGTTATAATCAAGTGATATTACTCCCATTTTTAATGAATTAGTGTGTAAGCTTGTATAGTTATACATCATAGGAAATAAGCCATAATTTTTTGAATATTCAATGTAATTTATTGAGATATTCTTATTTCAATCAATTAGATATGCTTGTTAATTAATAGTATTGATTTATGTTGCACTTATAATTCTGTTTCATTTCCTAGGCTGTTATAATAAGGTAAAAATCCCCATTTTGTAGTGAATTGGTGTTCTATCTTAAGACAGTAAGGTATCTTAGGAAATTTGCAATAACTCTTATATTTTGTAATGAAATTTGGTGGGACTTCCTTACTTTAGTCAATTAGATACGTTTGTTAATTAATATGATAGATTAATGTTCCTCTTATAGCTATTTTAATTTCCAAGGCTCTTATAATTAGGTAAAATTTTCATATTTTGTAGTGATTTAGTGCATTATCTTGGACATTTAGGCATCTTAGGAGATTTGCCATAATTCTCATATTTTGTAATGAAATTTGTTAGGACTACCTTATTCTAGTCAATTAGATATGTTTGTTAATTAATATAATAGATTTATGTTATATAAAAAAATTCTGTATCATTTCCTAAGAGGTTAAGTTTAAGGTAAAATAACCCGGTGTATCAACATTTTATGTGGCACTGCTTTCCTAAATAGTTGGGGTCCACATAGAATTTACTATAACATTTATATTCTTCATGGACAATTCTTGAAATCTTCTTTTTTAAGTCATCTTATTAAAGCTTTTAATTAATAAAGTTTATTTCAATTACATTACTTTTCATAGGGATCTTGTGAACTGACCTAGCTATGAAGCATAAAATTGATATTGAAGGAAAATTAAAATTACAATCAATTGAAATTGTACAGGTCCCAAAAGATATATTAGTATGCAAAATGGGTTTTTGTAAATTTATATAAATACAAAGGAGATATTTAAGTATATTATAGTTAGAATTTTATCAGTTATGTGGTTTATAACTTACTTGAGGAAAGTTAAACAAGTGACTTGGGACTACAGCATACCTATCTAACTCAGCTGAGAAAAATCTTCAAAGAATTATATGGTTGTATATGGAAAGGTTATATACTTTTAAGTTAGCAAAGGGCGACACAGGCTCATCTCGGGTATCTCAAAGGGGTATTATGTTAAGTAATGATTACGGATTGATAAACCTTAAAAGTGATTTTAGATAATATACAGAAAAAAAAATCAAGGAAGCTATATATGTTTATCAAAGTGGGTTATATTATGGACCTCATATAAGATAAAGATATATTTGAGCCGCGTCAGGATAAAACCAACATAATGGGTTTGCGACCAGCATGGATCCAGACCAGACTGCGCATCTGTTCGCTATCAGTGTTATACGGTTTATAAGTGAACAGTAAATTTAAAGCTCACTCCACATACAAAAATAGTAGTCTATGCCTTGATTATGAGCTGACAGATAGGGGAATTTTGTAAAGGGTGGCTTAGCCTGTCTGTTGTGATTACATGTCTAAAAAGTACAACATGGTATATTTTAGCCATCATAGAATTTTTTATCTAGAAAAAAAATCAAGCTATTTTTATTTGTACAAAAATATAGAAATAGTACAATGTACAATGTTTGATTATTAAAATGTTCACTATACATGTACAAATAATGAAACTATTAACAAATGTCGGTACAGCTGCGGTACGGTATTTAGAGGGTCACGGGTTCGAGTCCATGTCAGGATGCACTTTTTTTCTCACCTTGTGATTGACATACATTTGTATAGCCCAGCTAGAAATTAATTCACAATGCTAAGTAACCCTAGGAAATTCGAAGAAATATTTGCATACACAGTAGGTTTATAACTATTCAGTATTTCAACAAGTAAAACGCGTAAGCGGCCGAATAGCTCAGAGGAACTCAAGAGCCGCGGAATCGTATCCCGAGTGTCAGGGGTTTGAGTCCCTGCCAGGCTGTTACATATCAATATAAATCTGTCAAGAAAAATAGGAAGGAACTGTCTAAATAATTATCACCCTAAATAGTATTCGGATAGGATTCGGACAGTCGATCTTTAATGAAAAGTCAGAAGATGAACTTGTAATGGGGGTGGGGTGCTAGTCTGATTACCATCATTTGATTCTTACGAACTTCATATCTAATATATAATGGTACGCATATAAACACCTGTTTGCTGAATTGAATATCAAAAATGTTGCAATGAATTAGTAATTATATCTTATGCGTATGTAAAATAGGATATTAAAACTAATTAATCTTCGGCGTAAAGCATGTAGAAATCTGACCTGTATTCGCCGCGAGGTCACAAACTTTAAAACTTTAATGTAAATATCACAATAATACTTCTTTATATAATATTTCTATTCTTTGACAGGGACACAGAACATCTCTTACATGTTTAAGAAACAAGAAATTTACATAATATATCTAAGATATTCTTTTACTTCTCAATAATAAGTTAACAGACGCTAAACGCTTAGACGAACGCAGACGCACGCTAAACGTTTCTGGGAATAAGAAACGCACGCTTTCAGACGCACGATAAACGAAAAACGATACACGGAAAACGATAAACGTTAAACGCTTGTAAACGATGCACGCTTGAGAAAGCGTTTCAGCAAACGCACGTTGCACGCTATACGCACGCACGTTACACGAAAAACGGACGCACGAAAAACGCTATTTTTGACAACCGAAACGTTCACCCTACTGTAGATAGCAAATTTATTGTCATGAATAGCACAAATGAGGATTTAGAACTTTTTAAACAAGCCCCCTATAATATACTTACAAATAGAAACACAATATCAAAATTCTTTAAATACTGAGCTGATTGCGACGAAAATCGACATTTACCTGAGTTTTGATATAATATACTAGCGTACATGCCAAATATAAACACAGTCATTATGATCTTTCAAATGTTACCCTGTGGAAACCAGTTGACTGCGAACAGACGTACAGGGCAACGTCATACCGTCATACCCTGTAGGTCCCGAAGTAACTCCGGAAGTATAAACAAGAAACAGTAAACTTACCATTTTTCAATCTCTTGTCCAGGAGCCAGGTGTCCAAATCTAAAAATAAATTTAAATATCAAGTTGATTGTTCATTTTAACTTTAAACAAGGTTCATATATGATTATGAAATTTAAAGAAATATTGATTATAGATAATAATAATTCTTTATTCTTTAAATTGTATGTAATCATAAGGTAAACTTACCATCAGAGTATATATTCAGTTCGTAATAGCAGAATGGGTCTGTTTCTATCAGTTCACGCTGAGCATTATTGTTGCTAGGTTGTTGGAAATATAGTATCTCTTCGGATGTTTTTTGGTTGTGAAATGCCGGACATGGCGTTTGGCTATTCTAAAAAAATAATCGTTCAATTGTTTTTTAAAATAACAAATTAATGGAGATGTTATACGCACAACGTCCATGACACTCAGGCAAACATTGGGTTAACATGCAACTTTTTATAAAAATCACGTTCTCAATACTTTTATAATTATTATTTTGTAGCATGCAAGCGTAGTGAAATTTTGAAGTTTCTACTGACTTTGATCAAGTAATAAAATATTCTCTATAATATCAAGATAAATACTTCCTTTGTACTTGCCTTGATAAGATAAAAGCTTGTCCAGTAAATTTTATGGTTAGTTATGTTGATAAAATGGGTTTCATCGTTAATTTCTTCCTTCAGAGTAGAATTCTTGTCTGTCTTAATTTCAATATTTCTTGAGCACAGTTGAATTTGTAGCAAATCTGATCAAATGGAGGGTTTTAATTTGTGTTAGAATCACCTCTTTGCTTCTTATTGTTTAATGAAGTATTAACTTAATATTGTTTGCTTAATATTGTAAACTTTTGCTTCTTTATTACTTTAAGTCCCTTATTAACCCTAAATGTTAAATGTTACTTACTGTTACTTACTAATCGTTCGTTATTCCCCTATTTCGGCATTCCCCTTATTCGTCATTTCCCAAGTTTGTCATTCTCTTTTGTATATTAACTTACGTATGATACAATTATTCATCAAATCTTTAATTCTGATATATAATATACAAATTTATACCCACCGTTTGTCCCGTTATTTATGATTGCAAAGTCAGGCAAATACCCGTACGAGTCCCATCGAGAAATATTTGGTAGAACTATCTCAGAAGTGCTTTGCACAAATCCTGAATAATTGAAATGTCAGTTTTTAATTTTTCAGATGATATACAAAAAAACTATTTCACGTTTTTTCGACAGTTCGGCCAGTCGTGGTACTGTTTAAGCAAGGTTAATACATGATAGTACAAAACATTTTACCTGAAATCGTTTATAGAGATTGTGACACGGTTGTCAAAGAAAATATTCGTTATGATATCTCAATGGCATTCATAACGGTAAATTGAAAAAAATGTGCAAAAAATGTGCATATTAATTTATTAATTAACTTCCACATAATTCATTATTCTGCGGCGGAAATTCTTTAGGAAAAAGTTTTTTGCCGAAATATTATAAACAGATTATTTTATATTAAACACTTAAAATAGAAATGAAACAGATGAAATTCCAGACAATAATGTAATTACTTCAAAGATAGTGAAAGTGTATCAAATTTCACACTAGTTGATACAACAAAGGAAATTGTCTAATTATATATTTCACTAAAACAAAAGGAAAGACAAATAACGGGATTTGCGTTTGTTTAGAAATTCATTTTTTTCTACATTTATCGCGTTTAGAGGATCAAAATAGCCATGAATTAGGGAGATAGATGAACTACAACCTTCTGGACAGCCATTTTCTGTTCCGTAAATACTGAACTTCCAGTTGGGCCATGCACCAATATCTACGGTTGTGTTTCTTCTGATTTTATAGCAAAAACTAAACTTAAACTCGTCTGGACTTGCTGACACAATCATATGTCTGTTTGGATTTTCAAAGAAATGTTCTTTTGTTACATTAATAACTGTTTCATATATACTCTCGCTGTTTTTTATTCGCATATGCCCATGTTGAGATTTTGTCCACGTGATATCTATGTAACCTTCCCGCCATCCATATGAAGATGACTCCGGACAACCATAACGTGTCATAGGTAAAACGTAAGGACCTGCGGGCCAAAGGCTTTTGTTGTCATCCGCCTCCTCTGTATAACAAAATGAATGTTCGTCATTTAGTCTTGTGAAATTAATATACTTATGAACTGTTAATAGCTATGTTCAATATTGATATTAGATAAATGAGATAAAATACATTATTTTCATTATTTGTCAACACAAATGTGTAATTGATTATCAAATACGAGAATATTGTACAGAGGTCCAGCTAGAAACCCCCAAAAAGTAAAACCTTAGAAAGCTTTAAAAAAATGTAAGTATAAATATTTTAAACTTATTTTGTTGCACTTCATACTCGACATGTATACATATGTATTGTGATTGGAAAAAATCTCAGTATACCTTGAAGAAAATCTTCACATTTAACTTCGTATCCTTTTCTTTGTGTACATGTCTTTAGGGTATGTTCTGGTGCAAGTTGATGTGCTGCCGACGCCGACACATTTCCCCCTGTTTGTAAAACATAATGACCGAACATGAATAACGCAGGAAAAATAGAAGAATATTGGCTCTATATAAAGGATTAAGGATCAGTACGAAGTTATAAAGAAACTCGCTAAGCTCAAACTCAGATCTCAGGTATTTGATTGGTCAGAAACTCCCACAGAATGTTCACTAACCTAAAATTTAAAACATAACTCAGAAAAAGGTTTAAAGGTCGAGGCTAAGAACTCACGTTGTATTTAAACATTTCTCTTCATCTGATGCTCATGTGTTTGATTTCAATGCAAACTTATAATATAACCTACACAAATGTATAACGGTCGGACATGAAACGACAATAAATAGTTATGTTTCACAAAAAAAAAATCTAGTATTAATAAGATTATTAATTACTTCATATGATTTTAGAAATGTATCCGTATTTTAAACAAAGGACTTGATTTTTTAAACAGAACTATGAACTGTGTCCTAAGGTTCCTTATCAAATAAATTATAAATCAAACACGTATATTGTAATAGCATGATTGCGATGTCAGAATCCCCAATGAGAGGTAAAAATATAAACAAAGAGCAATAATGATAATAATAATGATAAAAACTGTAAACATTTTCAATACAAAAACAAAATCAAGATACCTTGCCTATCGCGTTTCAACAAAAAGAAGAAAAAAACGGAATGAATGAAGCATTTTCTCAATCCTTTCTCCTTGATATCTGTGTATCGTTCGCCTACAAAGTGATCGATTTACAATCACAATGTTTCCCTCTCAAACAATTATATTTGAAGATAATTTGTCTAAAAGAAATATAGATAACAATGGGGGCATTTTACGATTTAAGTCGGAATTTTGAAAAACAGGTTGTATTAACAAATTGATGGAACTCTCTATTAGCCTTTGATGCTCAGAAACTATTTTATTTTATTGAGAATGGTGTAGGTTTAAGCCTTTGCATGTTCCAAGGTCACACGGATTACTTGTACTTTAAAATAATCCTTACTATGATATAAAAAAAGAATCGCTAGAAATTAGTAAAACGACTAATTGGCAATCTCAAACATCTGAAATGAAAGAAATTAAAGATGTTCCTTAGATCTGTATAAAAATATGTAGCGTGCAGCAATTAAAATGGCTGACAAGATAGCGACAGTGGACTAACAAATATTAAAAATATTTTGATTGCGTATACTATATGTGATAATAATGTTGATGATGATAATTATGATGATGATGATGGTGGTGGTGGTGGTGGTGGTGAAGGCGACAACATAAATGCTTAAAATAATGATAATAATAATAATTATTACTATTATTATTATTATTATTATTATTATTATTATTATTATGATAAAATAATAATAATAATTGTGATAGAAATTGTCCAATAATGCGGAAAGAATTTAATAATTGTCCTCGGTAATACATGTATGTTAAACCAGCTATGCTTTATTGTAAATACAAGTTTCTTCTCAATATGTATGTAAGAAAAAATTTCAAATTAAAATATTTATAAAAATTTATTTATCCATTTATATTTTTTCCATTAAAAGCACATTTTGAATAGTGATGGCTCAATATTTATCTTGTTCTTTTACAAAAGAACTTCTTCAGAAGTCCTTGTTAAACATTATATAATTCAAAACCTGTATGAAATTTAATATAAAAGTATTGTAAATTTAGATAAGTATTAAAACCCAATTATTGTAACGCTGTTAACTAAAAATCCTTAAGTATGATACTTGTCGTCTTTTATCACAATTACTCAAATAGAAACTGTCTTTATAGCAGTATAAAAAGACAATTTTGCAAGCTCTGAAAAGAACTCCACCTTATACCTACGCCTTAGTGACTCAATTTTAGTGATAATGGATTTAATACGACAGAAGCCTTTTATAATTTGCAGTTGCAATTTGTCTAATACAGCTCAAATTATATAAATAACTTCATCTACAACAATAAAAATTTACAATCAAATGATTCCGACGGCCTTTAAATGGTCATTTTCAAACCAGATATTGTTAATATAAAATACAAATTACATTTGACAGTGTAGTAAAAAAGCCATAAAACAAATTACCGTTAGTCGTAAGATTAGGGTTAATAAGGCATATTGAATTAATCATGATGTTATTTGTGTATAATCTAATTCAAATGATAAACCAAATTAAAGACAATGCCTATAATACAGTAATCGGAGGTCATTAGATAACGTGTTTTCATAAGGAATTTATCATGAAGTTATTTGTGTATGATTTTATATATACATCTTATTCAAACGATAAATTAAGTTAAAGACAACGCCTATAAAACTCGCCTCTTTTAATCATGTTAAACCGACGTTTACATTTAAAATCTTTTTTTGTTTTTATCTGAATTTGCTTTATAGAATTTGTATATTTTTTATTTTGTTGCATCTCGTGAAATGCATTCGTACAAAGATATACGTATCTCACGGGAATTTAAAGAATCTGTATTAAAGCACGCGATGATTTAGAATATTCAATATTTTTGCTTTAACTCGTATAAAGAACCTTGATCATAGAAAAAACCTTGATCATAGATAAGCGTTCACATCAAAAATGATAGTCTTCAAAGAACTGTACCCAATGGACTATTTATAAAAGGCTTAAATGTGTCTGTTTTTACTAGGAAAGCGACAAAGTTTCGGGCTATTGATGATTAAAGTAAAATAAATTTTAGAGTACCAAACAGCTATATCAAAAATTACATAAACGCTCTAAGACAATTACTATTAATCAGAATCAGAAAAAATGTAAATTGATAGATATGCATGTATATAAATTCAATTATACTCTTTAACATGTGCATTCACTTCGGAAAATGACAAAGAAACGTTGCTCAGTTTGAATTGATCTTTTGGTTAGAGTAAAAATATTTTAATTTTTGTGTGTGTGTCGCTGAAAAGATGGAATGCTGTCATTTATTTATTTTATATCGAGTTATTAAAATTGTGACCATGCAATACTCGTGAATAATATGGTATAAATCCATTACGTTAAGGTAGCTCGCTACTTTCCGAACGAAATTTGACAACATCTCAGGTTTGGATAATGTTTTGCATGCAAACATGCAGATATGTAAGCTTTTCTTTCGCAACATTATTTTGTAAAGAATTAGTGTTGGTATGGCGTCAACGCGCCCCTATCGGCGGCCGGTAAATAAATTAAAGAACTCCCCATTAGCTTTTGGTGCTAAGAAGCTATCTTTTTTATTGAAAATGGTGTAGTTCTAAGCCTGTATATACCTGACCAAGGTCACACGTATCGCTCATACTTTAAAATAATCCTTATTATGATAAAAAAAGAATCATGAGAGATTAGACAAACGACCAATTGATAAGCTCAAACATCAGAAATAAAAAATCAAAGATGGTCTGTAGATCTGTTTAAAAATATCTAGCTGCAGCAATTTAAATGGCTGACAAGATAGCGACAGTGGACTAGCAAATATTAAAAATCTTTTGAGTGCATATAATATATGTAATAATAATGTTGATGATGATGTTGTTGATGATGATGATGATGATGATGATGATGATGACGACGACGACTATGCTTAATAATAATAATAATAATAATGATAAAATAATAATAATGATGATAAAATAATAATAATAATTGTGATAGAAATTGTCCAATAATGCGGAAAGAATTTAATAATGTACTCGGGAACCCGTTAAACCAGCTATACTCTATTATAAATACAAGTCTCATCTCAATATGTTTGTAAGAAAGAATTTCAAATTAAGTTAACATGGTAATTTATTTTGTCCATTTATATTTTTTTCCTTTACAAACACGTTTTGAATTGTGATGACTCAATATCTTTATTGTTCTTTTACAAAGGAAACTCTTCAAAAGTCCATGTTAAAAATTACATAATTCAAAACATGTAAGAAATTTAATATAAAGTTATTGAAAATTTATAAAAGTATTAAAACCCAATGACTGTAACGCTGTTAACTAAAATACCTTAAGTATAACACTTGTCAATTATCTCAATTACTCGAATTAAAACTGTCTTTATAGAGGTGTAAAAAAGACAATTTTGCAAGCTCTGAAAAGAACCTTATACCAACGCCTAACTGACTCAATTTAATTGATATTTGATACGACAGAACAGTTTTGTTAAAAGCCTTTTAAAATTTGCAGTTCAACTTGTTTAATACAGCTTAAATTATATAAATAACTTCATCTACAACAATAACTGTTAAAATATAAATGATTCCGACGGCCTTCAAAATGGTCATTTTCAAACAAGATTTTGTTAATATAAAATACAATTTACATTTGATAGTCTAGTAAGAAAAGAAAAGTAAGTAAGACGTTAAACAAATTGTCGTTGTTCATAAGATAAGGGGTAATAAGGAATAAGAAATATATCACGATGTTGTTTTGTATAATCTT